TGCAGTAAACCCCTCTCAACCCACCAAATGCTTGCTTGAAACACAAGTAAAATATAAGCAGGTAATTATGTCCTTTGCTTTTATTCCACACCAAAGATGAAGAAATGTATGATAAAGTTATAATGGTATATTATTCTGTACATTGTATAAGCCTAAAAATTAAAGGGACGAAAGTATGTAGTGACTATTGTTTGTCGTGATTTAAACACGATAATAGTGTTGCTTTCCCCTATATCTTATGAGCCGTATTGAACAGGACAGACTACCCCAAACACTCTGAAACTTTTCAAGTACTTTCTATATGCTCATGTGTACTATCTTGTTAGCATAGTTTTGTACTTGGACAGATAATCAGAATGGTCAACAATCAAGTATTGACAATGTTAATTGGTCACGTTTGTTTGAACTACCAAACCAGGTAATTTTTTAAATTTACACTTGTACAACCCAATGTCAATGTTACATACAATCAGTCATTTTTGTAACACAAGGGTTACAAATAAGAAAATACTAAATAAAATATGCAAATGTATAATTTAGTTCCATAACTGTATGAAGCACCTAAGACTTAAATATATCTACTGGGTGTATCTGTCTGTCTTTTGTCCAAGATAGTTGGCAGATATATAGGAATAAAAAGAGATGTAAGGTTATTGTAACACACCTTTGAGAAAGTTATTCAAACAATAATAACAAAAACACAACACAACACAACACATCTAGATATTCCAAGTTCTAAATCATTTTTTTTCAAAGTGGTGAAGATCAAAAGATCTGCCATTAACACCAAATTCTCCCAATATAAACGCATACTTCTTTTACCTGTGTATATGTATTAAAAGAAATACCAATGAAAATCTTAATTAAAATAAATGTTTAAAGATTAAACTTGTAATTGTTCAAATAAGAAGAACATTTTATGGGGGAAGGTGGATGATTCACAGAATCCCCTGGCCTACTCCCTTTAGGAATTATATATAGAGAGAAACTTTTTACAAGTCTAGTCTCACTTTTTTTCAGGATCCTGGACCCATATCTGACAATTATTGCAATTTTATTTACTTTGCCTCTTTTTTCCTGCGATTATTTTCCTAAGCTGATTGGATAAAATACCATTTATTATGGTGACAATTAAGGATAATCAGGGGCTGATCCAGCCATTTTTAAAAGGGGGAGGGTCCCAACACAGGATAAAAGGGGGGTTCCAATTATGTTTCCCCATTTAAATGCATTGATCATTCAAAAAAGGGGGGGTTTCATGTGAAAATAAATTTTTTAAAAAGTAAAATAAGATTTTCAATGGAATATATGTCTTACAAGGTATTAGATGTTAATAAACAAGTTTTAATTTTGATGTTAATTTTTTTCAACTTGGACACAATTAACTTTTTTTCATGTGAATTTCACATGAAAAATTTAACGTAAAATTCACGTGAAAAATTTAACTTGAATTCACATCAACAAAATTTTCCTGTGTAACACATGCGTTTGACTATACATGTGTTACACATGCAAATATCGCATGTGTCACATGCGTTTTCCAACACATGCGTGACACAGGTGTTTTTCTGACACATGCAATTCACATGCGTGTATTACGCATGTGAACGCATGTGTACCACGCATGATTCACATGCGTGGCAAGAAACATGTGTATTACGCATGTGACACACCTGTGACACATGCGTTTTTAGGTACATGCGTGACACATGTGTGGCATTTTTGCCCTAGTAGTGCATCAACCCGTTCAACTGCCGTGCAGTGGTAAACAGCCACTTCTAAAATTTGACATAACACGACTATGAAGACTATTACGAACTAGTTTTACATAAGAACTGAATGTACCTTTCGAATTTACAGGTTTTTGTTATAAATTAAATTCTAAATCACACAAGAAGCTCGACTTCTTATTTTTTTGGTTTAATATAAATATTAAGCGAATTTAATTATTTTGGCCTCGTTTTTGTTGCTGTTGCTATTATTCGTTGTCGTTTTTTTTCAAATAATAATTTCGTACAGCTATTACTTTCAATTTGTTTTTGTATTTCTTTTGATTTATCAAAATTTTTGTCTCCTGTTGATTTTTTTTTCTTTGTCTAGCTTGTATTTTTTTAAAAATTTTAATTTAAATGAGTTTTTTTATTGAAGCTTTTAATTCTTGCTTGAATCATGTCCATTCTTATTTTAAAGAACACCATTAAGAAAAAATGATGACTAGTCTGAGAAAAGTCTGCAATATCATTTCTAAGGGTAATTAATATCAGACAAATTTCAATGTATTTACATTTTACATGAAGCTTCTAAAAGTCAACAATCATTCATATGATCTTCATTTCCAGCATTTTTCTGTTTGAACCCAGTTTCAATTAATCTTCATATTGCAACCTCGTTGAAAGTACTCTTTGTGGTTTCTTTTCTTAGTACTAGGGCAAAAATGCCACACATGTGTCACGCATGTACCTAAAAACGCATGTGTCACAGGTGTGTCACATGCGTAATACACATGTTTCTTGCCACGCATGTGAATCATGCGTGGTACACATGCGTTCACATGCGTAAAACACGCATGTGAATCGCATGTGTCAGAAAAACACCTGTGTCACGCATGTGTTGGAAAATGCATGTGACACATGCGATATTTGCATGTGTAACACATGTATAGTCAAACGCATGTGTTACACAGGAAAATTTTGTTGATGTGAATTTAAGTTAAATTTTTCACATGAATTTTACGTTAAATTTTTCATGTGAAATTCACATGAAAAAAAAGTTAATTGTGTCCAAATTGAAAAAAATTAACATCAAAATTAAAACTTGTTTATTAACATCTAATACCTTGTAAGACATATATTCCATTGAAAATCTCATTTTACTTTAAAAAAAATTATTTTCACATAAAACCCCCCTTTTTTTGAATGATCAATGCATTTAAATGGGGAAACATAATTGGAACCCCCCTTTTATCCTGTGTTGGGACCCTCCCCCTTTTAAAAATGGCTGGATCAGCCCCTGATTATCCTTAATTGTCACCATAATAAATTGCAATAATTGTCAGATATGGGTCCAGGATCCTTAAAAAAAAGTGAGACTAGACTTGTAAAAAGTCTCTCTCTATATATAATTCCTAAAGGGAGTAGGCCAGGGGATTCTGTGAATCATCCCCCTTCCCCCATAAAATGTTCTTCTTATTTGAACAATTAAAAATTTAATCTTTAAACATTTATTTTAATTAAGATTTTCATTGGTATTTCTTTTAATACATATACACAGGTAAAAGAAGTATGCATTTATATTGGGAGAATTTGGTGTTAATTGCTGATCTTTTGATCTTCACCACTTTGAAAAAAATTGATTTAGAACTTGGAATATCTAGATGTGTTGTGTTGTGTTTTTGTTATTATTGTTTGAATAACTTTCTCAAAGGTGTGTTACAATAACCTTACATCTCTTTTTATTCCTATATCTGCCAACTATCTTGGACAAAAGACAGACAGATACACCCAGTAGATATATTTAAGTCTTAGGTGCTTCATACAGTTATGAAACTAAATTATAAATTTGCATATTTTATTTAGTATTTTCTTATTTGTAACCCTTGTGTTACAAAAATGACTGATTGTATGTAACATTGACATTGGGTTGTACAAGTGTAAATTTAAAAATTACCTGGTTTGGTAGTTCAAACAAACGTGACCAATTAACATTGTCAATACTTGATTGTTGACCATTCTGATTATCTGTCCAAGTACAAAACTATGCTAACAATATAATACACATGAGCATATAGAAAGTACTTGAAAAGTTTCAGAGTGTTTGGGTAGTCTGTCCTGTTCAATACGGCTCATAAGATAAAGGGGAAAGCAACACTATTATCGTGTTTAAATCACGACAAACAATAGTCACTACATACTTTCGTCCCTTTAATTTTTAGGCTTATACAATGTACAGAATAATATACCATTATAACTTTATCATACATTTCTTCATCTTTGGTGTGGAATAAAAGCAAAGGATATAATTACCTGCTTATATTTTACTTGTGTTTCAAGCAAGCATTTGGTGGGTTGAGAGGGGTTTACTGTAACGTCGGTAATAAACTTACATAGGCGGATCCAGGGTGGGGGGCCCGGGCCACCCTTTTGTGGGAAAAATTTGGTTGATTATATAGGGAATCACTGAAGCATGACTGGAGTGCCCCCCCCCCTTTAGGTCAGTCAGCGGGCCCCCCCCCCTTATGAAAAGTTCTGGATCCGCCACTGACTTACCACCACCCACGTGCCACCACATCAGTGTCCTGCAGGCACTTGCCCGCAGGTGGTGTCAAAAGTTACATGTGCTTGTGTTTTTTCAAAGTTCATAAAATGTGGAACAAATGTCCTCAATTTCTCTATTCTATTTATAAGGGGAACATAAATATCAATGATCAGTGTTGGAGCTGGGACTATTGTATAATAGTCTCCATAATAGTCCCAGGTTGGAGGCATTAATGTCATTAATACCATTGTAAGGGTACTACTGGAAAGAAGTTGTTTAAGAATAGATCAACCAAGGATTTGTTTATTGGATCAACGGTGATAACATTTTAAAACTGTGATACCCAAACAACCTTGGTATGAAATACTGTACAGAAATTCCCAGTAACCGTTGGGCTTAACATTACATAAAAACTAAAGATTGTGCCATTGACGGATCCAGAAATTTTCATAAGGGGGCCCACTGACTGCTAAAGAGGGGGCCTCCCTAGTCATGCATCAAATTTTTGCCACAAAAAGGGGAGGGGCAGGGTGCTCTAAATCCGCCTTTATGTGCAACACGAACCTCCAAAATACATGGGTGAACTCAAGTATTGTGAATGATAAAGTTAGGAACTTTCTGCTCAACATGTGGCAACCTAGGTTTGAGTATACATGTAATTGCCAACTTGAAATTTAGTAAGTAAAACTTTGATTTGATTCGTCATATTGGCAAACATGTGAAGATAAGATCTGGTGAGATTTTCGTCGAATATCATGAGGAGATAGTGTTAAAAATATTTGCATAGTTCATGAGTTGAAAATTATAAAACAAAATATATTGTTTAACCTTGGACAAAAAGATCAAGTCCAAAACTGGCTGTTATTTGTGTAGGCTACCTTAATCTTGAAGAGTATGCAATTCTAAATCAAGGAGGCGGTAGGCAATTTCCTAATAATATTACAAAAGAACTTGTCACAGATTCTTAACTAAACGTCTATCAGATTAGTAAAATTTCTAATTCACTGACATCTGTTGGACATAGATACTCAAATTGCAGAATCTTATTAGTAATAAAAAAAAAATCTGTGTTTTCTGTGACATCATTTTGAAAAATATATGTTTATATTTTATTTATTACACTCTAACTGTCTAACATTTAATTCTCCTCTGATTAGAATTTAGAGTAATTATCGTTTGTCAATTTTCCAAACTTCCCATGCCCCCCTCAGCAGAGTTATTTAATTCTGAATGGAACAAAATGTGAATGAGTTATAAATAATATATAAATGATTGAATATTCTTTATTTAGTTTTTCTTTATTCTCAATTCTTCCAGAGACATGTATATGCTCTGAGAATAATGTCTTTGCATGATTCTTCATAATTAAGTATACTCAATTATTCTCTATGATCCTTTTTTCTATATTTTTGCTTTTCAACTATCTATATATTTTTTTTTGTGTCCTTATTTAAATCCCCATTCTTGATTCTAGACTAACTCTCATATATATACGTAAATGTACGAAAGCTTGGCACGTCGAATACGGAAACCCGGAAATCTTTTCACCGTTGTCGTTTTTATACTATGACGCAAAATCCATGGACGCTCGTCTGCTGCTGAATTCATGTTTTAAAAGAATGGACAAAGATAGTCAGATAGTTGATACAAAGACCTTTGATTTTTCAAACTGATGGATCAAAAAGTTATTATAAACAGATATATTGAAATGGGTTAGTAACTTACATTGTCGATTAACTGAATCCGGGGAACGAAAGTCAACGCAACGAAAGTGTTTCGTTTTGATGGATTACGTACCAACTTATTGTACTTGGAAAGCGCAATGAAATGTAAATATAATCATGCGCATTTTTAGGAAGATGCTAGTGCTATACTTTTCACGAAAAACCATTTGACTTTATCCATGTCATGCATGTATAAACCCGAAAATCAGTCAAAGATTGGCAAAAACGGAAGCAAGTCAACTCGCCCCATTGCAATTGGCAAAACGCCCCATTATTTTAAAATCGCTCCACTCTTGTTTAGGGGACGACCATTTGATATTCTGGGGGGGGGGGGGGGGGGGGGCAGGAGGATTTTGAAAATAAATAGCTCAGCCTTGATAATAAAAAAAATGAATGGTTTGTTCTGTGGTAGTTTGAAAATAAATGACCTGACCTACAATGTATTGAAAATAAATAACTCTGCAGGTCTTTTAAGCCATTTTATAAAATTTAATGCTATTCTAAAGTATACTTTTTCTAAAGTATGAAATGGCACCAGATTCTACCAAAATTCGTCTTTTTTTCATATTTTTTTCAGGAAAAACTTCCCAAATCTTTTATAATACAATGTATAAATATTAATGTACTTGAAATGTCTGAAAATGGGTTTCAATTAACTAGAGGTATATTAACTCAGGAACATTTACCTCACTTTCATAAGAGGGCTGTAACTAAATTGAGGCAAATGCCTCAGGTAGGAAATTTCAAAAACAAAATCTTGTCTTCATATCAAATTGTTTTTACTTCGAATGCCTTGCAAGAAGCAAGTTCTGTTCACCCTCTGACATAACCCCTGTTTTTCAAGATCCATGTTTCTCATTTAATTATAGTTTTCAGTGTTATTTGTCTATAATGTTTGTGGTTTTGTGTTTTATCTGTTCCAGGGTTTGTCTTTTGTTCATTGATTGCCCTTCTTTATTCTCTTAGTGTTGCATTCCATTGTAATTTTGTAATTTTTTTATACGACCGCAAAAATTAAAAAATTTTTGGTCGTATATTGGTGTCACGTTGTCGTCGTCGTCCGGCATCGTCGTCGTCGGAAGACAGATGGTTTCCGGATAATAACTTTAGTATAAGTAAATAGAAATCAATAAAATTTTAACACAAGGTTTATAACCACTAAAGGAAGGTTGGGATTGATTTTGGGGGTTATGGTCCCAACTGTTTAGGAAAAAGGGGCCCAAATAAGCATTTTTGTAGTTTCCAGACAATAACTTGTGTTAAAGTGTATGAATCTCTCTGCAATTATACCACTAACTTCCATACAACATAGGGATTGTTAGGATTGACTTTGGGGGGTTATGATTCAAACCATTTAGTAATTAGGTGCAAAAAAAGGGGAAAAACAATGGTTTTTCTGGTTAAAGGACAATTGAGACAATTTAAAAGCAGTGTAAGGGAGGTAATCCAATTCAAATTAAAGAACACTGTTTGATTACCTCCCTTACACTGCTTGTAAATTATGTATTAAGAAATGATGATTGTCTTGAGGTGATTAGCTGTCAATTTATTTTTAGCAGTTACTATTAATTAATATTAATTTTAGCCATGACTATGTATGTCATTTTATATTTTAAAACTTTTATGATTATTTAAATGGGTAATTTTGGTTGCAAACTGCATTAGAAATTTGAATTGAGATACTGACCATATCTTGAGGGAAAGATTTTTTTTAGGGAATAAGGGAAAGGGGGGAGGTGAAAAAATTGGAGGGGGGGGGGGACAATTTTTCTCATTTCAGATTTCAGAAATTAAAAGAAAATTTCTTCAAATTTTTTTTTTGGGGGGTTAATATTCAACAGCATAGTGTATTGCACAAATGCAAAAAACAGGGGTAAAATATTTTTTTTTTTTGGTTAGGGGGGGGGGGTCAATTCGCAACAGCATAGTGTATTGCACAAAAGCAATAAATTGAATATAAATTCAAATCATATAACCAATTTGAAGTTCTTTGACTACAGTTTTTCTTTTATTATTATGTGTCAAAAATTTAGTTACAATCCAAATTCAGACCTGTATCAAGCGTGAATATTGTGTCCATTTTGGCCCAACTTTTCAGGGTTGGACATCTGCGGTCGTATCAAGCTGCGCTCAGCGAAGCAATTTATTTAAACTTGAGTTTTATTTTATTTAAGGACTTTTTATCTAATTTTACAAACTACATGAATTTCAAATTGTATCTCAGTTAGGAACTACATCAAGTTGTAATTGAAATGTGTTATAGAAACTTACTTGACATAGTTATATCAATGATAATCAGCCCTTCTTAACTTAATTTGAGAAAAAAACAACACATAATTGACAGGTGTATTAAAAAGATTTTCTGCAAGCCAAAACACTATAAAAAAAAAAGCAGCCACATACTTAAGTTTGTGAATTACACTTTTTGCTTTATCCTACATATTGGTCTTTCGATGTTGTCCCTAAAAACTAAAAGTTTTACACTGAATCTATATATTTTGCTTTGAGACCAAAATATTGTCGAAAAAATAATTAACAGAACTTGTGTTTCAGATAAAGAAAGGATCTGGGAAACGCGCAGAATGCACGATTTTGCTTCATTTTTGTATATCTTCTTGGGGCCTTCAACGGCCCCCAAAACCTTTGCCGAATTTTTTTTATGCAAATATGTTTGACATTACTTTTAAAAGAGGCTTAGTTACAGCCCCACTTTAATACCTTGTACGTATGCAATAAATGCAGTTTGGAATTCAGAAGAATCACTTCCACAGGATGATGATTAATTCTGATCAAATGGTACATAATGATTTGACTATACATTTATTATCTATTTAGGAATAAAAAAAAATTAAAAATTGTGTGTTTTCAAATATTATAAATATAATTGTGAAAATAAATAATCAGTCCCTTGTTTTAATGAAAATGAAAACTCATGCTTCAACAGTGCAGAAAATAGATAATCTCTTCTTTTAGTTCACAAAAATAAATAACCGATCCAAAACAAATCCTCCTGGCCCCCACCAGAATATCAAATGGTCGTCCCCTTAGGGAGCTACCATTTGATTTTTATGGGAGAGGGGGCTTTGACAGAATTTGAAAAAATGCGGGACAGGAGTTTTGAGTAAAAAAATAAAAGCCAGGACAGAAAAGAATGAATAATAAACTGTCAGGACAGATATTACAACTAAAAACAATGCAGGATAACTGTTCATAACATTTTCATCCTACCCCCCCACCAAATCAAGTGGTAGCTCCCTTCATACCAACTTGCTTGCCCCACATTAAAAAAAAATCGCCCCACTTGTGAAAAGGATTAAATCCTGTTAAATATACAATGTACTCCTGCCAACAGTGGCAACTTGCCTAACTTGGGTAAAATCCAAATGAATATAATCATGATAATATATAATAAATATATTATAAACAGATAAAGGTCTACCAACTCGCCCTACATGTACTTTAACTGAATGAAAACTTATCTACCCAGAATTAAAAAAAAAAATTGAAATTTAATATATGATATTTATTGAATTTAAATGATGTTTCACTTCTTAAAATATAATTGTAGATTCATTATTTACTATTATTTAATTTATGTATTTATTGGAAAATAACTTTATTCTTGCATTAGCTTAGTTATTTGCAAAATAATTGCAAAGAAACCTGTTAATTGTATCATAATCTATCTGATTGTTTTTTAGCCGACTCAAAATCATGCTGTTAATTAGGGCCCCCTGTTGTACATTGTACATGTACTTAGGAATCGGACACCTCCAGAAGATGAAAGATCTACTTTACATGTACGTAATGTAAATATAAAAATAAGAAAATGTGGTATGATTGCCAATGAGAAAAGAGAGGAATTGGTAAAAGTCCGTGAAAATTCACTTGTTTTCCAATCCTAATAAAACTGTCATATTGTAATGTTTAAATAACCTAATTATTTTCAAAATAAAATCTTGTTTACACTAATGAGAAAAGACAGCTCTCCATCAGAGATCAAATGACATCAAAGTTAACAACTAGAGGTCACTGTACATCCTTCAACAATGAGCAAACCCCATACCATATAGTCAGCTATAAAAGACCCTAAATGAAAATGACAAATTTGTAAAATAATTCAAACAAGAAAACTAGCAGAATAATTTATATACAAAACAAAGAACAAAAAAAACAAAATATGATACACAGCAACAAACGACAAACTGAACCACTGAATTACAGGCTCCTGACATGGGACAGGCACATACATACAAATATGTACAGGATGGGGTGGGGCTAGACTAGTAGTTTGTGGTGCCGAACCCACCTCCTAACCTGGTATATTGATGTGAAAAGGGCTTAACTCGTCAGATCTATACAAAGTAGAAAGACATCTAACAAAACCACACAAAAGACGTGGTGGGTACTTACACATCCCCACAACAAAAAAGACCAAGTTCAGATCTGAGAGTACTCCCAGTTACTAACACCTAGTTCAAAGCCAAAAACAAAGTACATTGTACATGTACAATGTATTTACCACCAAACCTTGCCTGGTTTAGTCCATTTCTCAGATACTACCTTATATAAAATAGTCCAACTTTTGGTGTAATTTAAACAACTTTGAATGACTTAAAATTTCAGAGTATCATGATTATTAATAACTTAATCCCCAAAGATTGGCATTATAAATCATGACAGATTCAGAGATCCTGTAATATATACTGTACATGTAATCACTTTTGTTCATCCCTTCATTCAAGGGTCATATGGAATTTGTATGACGGATTAGAACATTAATAAAATGATTAAATACTTTTTTGTAGTCATTTTTTTTTCAGGGAAAGTTTGTTGGTCTAGTTTTAAAAGATCAAAGCAAGCCAATTTTGCCAGATCAAAATATTAAAGGTAATTTTGGCAGATACATTGTATTATAACTTCACTTTATTAAACATTATTTTTTTTAGCTTTTTCAACGAAAGTACAATTACTTTGAGAAGTAGGAGAAGCTAAGCAACAGGACAGAATTCATTTGAGGCATTGCTTTCTAGATTATATAGTGGAGTCATAGATTGTCCTATTGATTTATGTGGATATGAGGAGCAGTAGTCAATGAATAATTTTGTGATGAGAGGTATGTAATGAAAATGATAACTATGTTTGAATAATTTTTTCTTGTCAGGTTCTGTACATGCAGTTTCGAAGATTTTTTTAAAAGTTTGAATTCTAAGTTCTTTTACTACAGTTATTCTGTGTCAGAAACCTATTATGTGTCAAATATTGAATTGCAATCCAAATTCAGACCTGTATCAAGCGCGAATATTGTGTCCATATTTGCCCCAACTGTACAGGATTGGACCTCTGTGGTCATATCCAGCTGCGCTCGGCAAAGCAATTTATTGGTTATCATCTTGAATATTATAATAGAGATAAACTGTAAACAGCAATAATGTTCAGCAAAATAAGATTTACAAATAAGTCAACAGGATCAAAATGGTCAATTGACCCCATAAGGAGTTATTGCACTTTAAAGTCAAATTTAACAATTTTTTCGTAAATTTTTGTAATCTTTTACAAAAGTCTTTTCCTGAAACAACTGAGACAAATTTAACCAAACTTGGCCATAATAAGCATTAGGGTATCTAGTTTAAAAATAGAACATAGGGGGAAAAATGCAGTTTTTGACTTATATCTTTGAAACTAAAGCAAAAGTATATCGGTTGCATTATTTCATGCATCAATTGTAAAATAAAAAAAATATCAGGTGAGCGACACAGGCTCCTTGGAGCTTTTAGTTGGTATTGTAATTTAAATGAGGTTAAGACATGTAAGAAAGGGGCTTGAAAAATGAGGAATTGTGTTTGTACAAGCACTTAGTAATCTAGATCTATAATACTAAAATAACAAGGTCCAATTTGTGAGCCGGCATGACATAAAAATGACGATTCAAAGAATTCAACTTTATTTATAACTTATATATATAGGACAATGGTGTTGATTAAAAGTTACACCATTCCAGGCCCATTTGTTTTCCACATAATTATTACTACAGATGATTAACAAGTTCTGGGTCGACGGGTTCAAAAAGAAAGATTTTGAAAGCAGAGAAAACTGTGCACCTAATGACCAGCATGACATTATTAGATGACAAAACGAAAAATCTTAAAATTCAGGCTAAAAATAAGGCTAAGGTACTTTGCTTCAGTCACAACACCATGATGTCCCGGAGTATTCAAGTATATATTATAATGTGTAGTACACATGCATAAATAGAGTTAGTTTTCATTATTACGGTAATTTATGTTGATAAAAATGAGAATATGTAGTATTATTGCCAATGAGACAACTATCCACCAGAGTGACTGAATGTTAGCAACTATAGATCACTGTATGAACAGCTTTCAACAATGAGCAAAACTGATACTGCATCTAGCAAGCTATAAAAGGTCCTGAAATTACAGATGTAATACAATTCCAATTTACGTAAAAGACATTAAACGAAAAATAAATATGATAAACAACAACTATTATATTCCACTCCAGTTGTTCACACAATATATATATATATATATGTAAGTTTGGTAAATCATTGGAGATTAAATTGATGTTATAATTTTTTGCCTGATTGGTAATCCAATATTTGATGTATGTTTTACAAAAAATATATGCTGTTTTTGTCTCGCTTGACGGAGTCAAAAAGCGAGGCATAGGTATGCTGTTTCTGGCGTTGGTGACGACAGCGGCGTCAACAATGTATTAGTTTGTGATTAGGTCTAGTTTATAGTGAACCACAAGTAGTAAGTCGAAGATATTTGGTATGCAGTTGTATTAGTATTGGCACATCTCATTACCATGGAGATTATTTGGCCCCGCCCCCTCAGTTATGGTTTATTGACTTAATTTGAAATTCTTGCTTCAGTCTTCATGTTTTAGTTTGTGATTAGGTCAGTTTATGGAGAACCACTAGTGGTAAGTTAATTATGATTGATATGCAGTTGTATTAAGCATTGGCATATCTCATTTCCATGGAGATTATTTGGCCCCACCCTCTCAGTCATGGTCTATTGACTTTTAAATTTTTGCTTAGTTTTCATGTATTAGTTTGTGACTAGGTCAGTTTATGGGGAACCACTAGTGGTGAGTTCATGATAATTGGTATGCAGTTAAATACGCATTGGCATATCTCATTTCCATGAAGATTATTTGGCCCTGCCCCCTCAGTCATGGTCTATTGACTTTGAAACTTTTGCTTAGTTTTCATGTATTAGTTTGTGATTAGGTCGGCTTATGGGAAACCACTAGTGGTAAGTCAATGATATTTGGTATGCAGTTGTATTAGCATTGGCACATCTCATTACCATGGAGATTATTCCCCCCCCCCCCCCTCAGTTATCGTTTATTGACTTTAAAATTTTCTTAGTTTACATGTATTAGTTTGTGTTTAGGTTTTTTAAAGGGAACTACTTATGATAAGTCAATGGTATTTGGTATGCGTTGTATTAGCATTGGCACATCTAATTTCCATGGAGATTGTTTAGCCATGTACCTTTAGTCATGGTTCATTGACTTTGAATATTTGCAAATCTTACATGTTAAAGTGTTGCTATTTTCATTTCAACATTTGCATTATTGAAATTACTAAAAAGCGAGACATATCTCTGTGATTACAGTTTATTTTTTTTATTACAGCAACTATATTCCAAGAGTCTGATGGCTGATAATGTATTACAGGATTTTATCATTCAAGCAACATCTTAGAGGGATAAGTGCAAATGTATGAAGGAAGCCTTGGGTACAAATAGCAATTACAGCAATTACATGCAGGAGAGAACTCTTAACATTACTAACAGACATGTAGTCATTATATTGGAGTGGTGTATTCAAGAAATCTAAAACACATGGAATTAAATACGGTGTATATTTTTTCAACCACAAGTACTCTCAGAATATAATACAATTCAAATTCAAATTATTGTGCCAACATGACAATTACAGTCTAAAAATGGAAAATGCATGTTTTAAACTGATTTTTATATAAATATTTGAAATAACAAGAATTTTTAGTTTATTGTGCAGCCAAACTTTGAGATCTTCTAATGGTATATGCCTGTTGTTTGTCAACATTTGTTTTCCTTTTGCCTTAACCTTAAGATTGGTGTTAAAATGAAAAACTGAAATAGATATATGAAATAAGAAGGAAATGGTTGTAAATAACAGCAAGACTTTCAATATGGTATATCAAAATATATTTCACAGAACTTTCTATTTCAGTTTATTAACACAATGAGATATGAGGTATAAATAAATCAGACATCTACACAACAAAAACACATGAAAGGCATTAAGGTGCTAACATAAAGTCCTCAACAATGAACAGGTGTCTAAACAATGTCATGATCTACTTAATTAACCAGAGTCTATACCAATCAAAGAGCTGCCATCAACACCAAATTCTTTAAATATTTTTTTTTATTAGGATGAGACTTAGACAACCACTGAAAAGGTTCCTGGCTTGAAACAGGCACAGGAATATGTGGCAGGGTGAAATACTTTTTTTCTTCAAAACTTTCAAAAGAAAAATTGGCATCTTTTGCAAGTAAGACTATTTCCATAATGGGATTGGATTGTCTCATGGCTGATAACCACAAAATGACTTGTACATACATATTAAAAATGAAATATACATTAGTGCATACATATTCTATAAATGAATCACCAATCCTTACATGACTTTTAAAAAAAGTATTGAGACTTGAACATAACCGAAAAAAATTCTAGGAGTGAACTAAGGTGACCTGGATATTTGCTTGCCTTCTTTGGTTTATTGCATCTTATCTCTTGCATTGGAGATATTGTGAGTTGGGAGTTGATAGATAAATATTTTTTGTATTGTTTAGGATCAAGAAAGTAAAATATAATGGAAGTATGAACACATAGTCAAGACCAAGAAGAATATTTATATATCAAAATAAAATGTGTACTAGATTAGCATTAACTTATCTAAAATATGCTCAAATACTGTGAATTTATGTGATTGATGCTCAATTCACCTTAATTTCATTTTGCCTGTGTATATATAGAGAAAACACATGTATAACGCATGTGTTAGAAAAATGTGTTAGAAATTGCATGTAATTCACATGAGAACTGAGAAACATGTCAACAATCATGGTAATTGGACAAATAGGAGGACATTTTGAAAAATATTTAATACAGGCACTATGCCTTTTACATGTAGTAATCACGCATGTATCTCAGGTGTATTTCCTTATGCATATGATTCACATGTGAAACGCATGATCACATGTGTGTATCATGCGTATCACATGTGTTTTTCACACATGTGTCACATGCGTGGCATGAAACGTCTCTTTCACATGCGTGTGACACGCATGTGAAACGCATGTGTCACGCATGTACACATGTGTGGCATTTTTGCCAGTGTACTGCAGGTCGATGTATAATAAATATATTCCCCAAAAAAAATCACTTTAATATAACCAATCGTTGTCATTTTTATTACATACATCCCTATTTATAATGGTTGTGCCCATGTTGTAATGTTACAGTAGCATAAATGAAACTTGAATGAAATTTAATGACTGAAAGACAGTAAGATGATTTCTGCTGCCTAATTAACGATACATATATTAATGAAAGTTTAATAATAAATTGATGTGAATAAAATTTGTTCCATCAACTAATTATAAGTATTGAATCAAATACAAAAAACAGAAATGACTTTCAGAAATTTCTGTTTTTGAACTCGCTCAGTGAAAGCGAGTTCAAAGCACTTAACGTGATACACCATAAGAAAGCATTCTGTTGTTAACAATTAGCTAAAGAATGATAATAATCTCGTGCGGTTACCTAGTCACACAGTTGACACCGTGACCAGAGTAAGGCACAATACGAGCAACATTATGCAATTTACCGTATAAGATATGAGCAGAAAAGCAGTAAAGTTGCAATGTGTGTGCAAGATTTCCTAATAAACATAAAAGCATTGTAAATGAAAGAGTACTATTTGCAAGTGATTGCGGATTGAAATGTTACTATATAGTAGTAAAAGCATAAGTATTTTATATGATATTTTATACTTGCATAATTAATGAATTTATAATACATATCTCTCTTGACAATATTTTCTTCAATTGTCGTGTTTAAATAAGGGATA